TATGTATGCTTAGATCTTTAAAACTACGCAACGGATTTTGATGCGGTTTTTTTTAATAGATAGAGTGATTCTTAAGGAAGGTTTGTATGTATATACATATTGCACCCGTGCGAAGCCGGGGCGGGTCGCTAGTACTAAATAAACTAAAAATCGCGGGTTACTCACGTGAATATCCTGAGAAAAGCTCTACTAGTTTCGAGTCATAAAAGGACATCGCCGCGACTGCGCGCACGCTGCTCATAAGGAAGAGTCCCTCTGTGACTCGAAACTAGTTGAGCTTTTCGCCGTATATTTATGTGAGTAACCCGTTATATCTTATACTATTATATAAAGCGGAAGAGTTTGTTTTTTGTTTCTTTGTTTGTTTGAACGCGCTAATCTCCGTAACTATAAGTCTGATTTGAATAATTCTTTTTGTGTTGGATAGCGCATTTATGTAGGATGGCTATAATGCTATAAAACATCACGCTACGACCAATATGAGCCGAGCAGAGCGTGTGGAACCGCGCGGAAGTAGCTAGTTATGATATAAAATTACATATCAACAGCTAACAGTAATCTGATTTTTTGAGGAGAGAAAATCATCCAATGACTTCTCCCGCCTTGGGCGAAGTGAGAGGGAGAGCCAGACTCTTACTTTTTTTTATGGGATTAGTCGGTAAATCGGCGCCGCCCATGGACATCTGAAACACCTGTACAAGTGTATTGCCAGCCTTTTGTGCTCATATGGGGGATTCGGGGATTGGGGCAGTGGCGAGGGGGATTGGGCCTCTGGTAACCTCACTCACACGACGAAACACAACAATGCAAGCATTGTTTCATATCGGTTTTCTGCTCGGCCGTGGTATCACTCCGGTTGAGCCGGCCCATTTGTGCTGAAGCATGGCTCTCCCACACTTAAGACACTATGAATTTATATAAACATAAAACTATTGAAAGTGGAGACCTAGTACTGCTGTGATTGAGATTGCAATCTAGTTACAGTGCACTGACGTTAGATTAGTTTGAAAAATACCAGGTATTTCATCAAATTATACCAATAACTGTAACTAGGTTCAGTGGCTGGGCACCCGGCCACCACGCAATGTGAAGCAGGTGTGATTCTTACATAGAGCCCCTCTCTGTGTTATCCACAAATTGTTGTTCTGGGTCTGGATGCTAAGTGTATATGAAATATTATGTTTATAAACGCACCCACGATACAGGAGACAATGCAAGTGTGGGGTAACATTTAAAAAAAAAGTTGAAATTAAAAAAATACTAACATCACAAACAAAATTCTTCTCTTTTCCATGTTCTAGCATGTGTAGTTTGAGTAATTCTTTAGTCTTAAACAATTTTAAACACTTGCCACACTTAAATATGTGCTCTGGCAACTCAGTCAATGTGTTGTGTCTATGGTCTCTCATGTGAAACTCGTACATACACCTCTTTGGTAGATACCGATCACATAAAGTACACTTATATCCATCTTTTAACCCTTTACAGAAATTTACTTCATGACTTATGCGACTTTTTCGACTTTTAAACCGTTTTTCACATCCAAAACACTTGAATAATGTACCATTATCTTCAATACCATGTAATTCAGCATTATGAGTAGATAATCCTTCTTGAGTATCCAAATCTATGCAGCAAATATTACAGTAAGTAGGTGAGCGTTTGTGTAAATACTTTTTTCTCACTTTCGAGGTTGATTGCCGCTGTTTTATTGTCTCTGGCTCTTCGAAAACTAAATTATCATCTAAATATGTCTCTATGACGTCATTGTCTTCTATATCTTCAATTTTAATTTCTACAGTCGGTTCACTGGTCGTTAGCGAGTGATTTTCAAGCACAATTTTCAGCTTTGCGTTCGTTTCTTGGCAAAATAATTTATAGTAATGAAACCGCTTTATTTCACTTAAACAGTCGTTACAGATCTTGTTTAGATGACCATTATCTACTTCTACATGTAAACAGTCTTTTATTATGTCAGACAAACACATTTCTATCGTGTATTCTGAAATTTTTAGAAAGACGTCTGTGTTCGCATTTTTGTTCCAGCAAAGTCGGCAAACGTCGTCTTGACTGAAGTATTCGTAGTTGTATAACTCACTATCCGGGTAAATATGGGCCCAATGCATGGTTTAAACTATATTTTTATTAAATACACAATGAAAACAATAAGATATTAAATACAACCCCGTGCCAAACAACAGTGAAACCAAGTGAAACGTTTTGTTTATTTTTTTGTAATCAATTCTTGACACTGACAGCTATGTCACAGTTTAGAAATTGCTATACAGGGACCAAATGTTACTGAGTACAGTTTTAAAACGAATTTATTTTTTACGCAAATTGCAAGTATTATCATTATTTCCTTATTTACAAAAATAAACGTTACCATGTTATAATAAAAAATACTACCTAGCTGTTACTGATTTGTGTCAGATGTATCATTTACTTATGTGTAAAACAATATTATATCAAATTCAATCACACAAAATTATTATATATACAATTAATATCAACTATAACTAAATGAAAATATATACAACTTAAAATATAAATAACTATGAACTAAAATATTTACACCTTAAAAAAAAGGTAATAATAAATAAATAAGCTATAATTACTAGCTGTTACTTAAATTAAATAAGTTGAACCTAAAATTATTTCACAATAATGTGTAGTGTTTTCTAGATTGGCAAATCTAATCTTTATCAATATATTATTGGCCTTGCCTTTAGCATTTGGATAGAATTCCTAAACTGCCTACCTTGTTGGTCAAATCCAGTCAGGTGCCTAGCACGAATAACTATCGCATTCGATAGGTACCTAACTATTGTGTGCTTAGCAGATCCAAGAAGGTCTCTCCACTGCTCGACTATGGGTTTCGTTTGCTAGGCAGGCAGATTGAAAATCGTCGAACAAAAAATTTTGATTTATCAGCACTCACTCTACGACTGATATGCGGAGAGCGACGACTGGTGACTTTATAAAAAAAAAATGTGTAATACCTTAAACACACATATATACCTTAGTCGGTTTTCAAGACTAGGACACTCTTGCAAAATGTAAGTAGTAAGCGGAAATCAGATTGTGTTAGGTACTTACTAACCGTATTTTTTTTCTTTACCAAGATTAAGAAAAGTAAACCCAGAGGCACATTAAACATAGAGAGCGCCCTAAGGATGCGTCTCATAGGTCCCCTTACTGTTTTTTGGTGACGTCGCCACACTGTGGGCAGTTGGGCCAGCGCCCTCTTTAATCTGGCGCCCTACTCACTTGTCTTACAGAGGCAATAGGCAAACGCCTTAAGGATTGTAATTTTTATGGAATAAGCTGGTAAACGAGCAGACGGATCACCTGTTGGTAAGCCATCAACGTCACCCATGGACACCCGGAACACCAGAGGGGTTACAAGTGCGTTACCGGCTTATTAGGGATAAGGAATTTAAAGATTGCTGGAGATTCGGCGCTTGGGCCCTCCCCTTTTGAGTAAGGTTACCGGAATAGGCAATCGGCGCCGCCCATTGACACCCGGAACACCAGAGGTGTTACAAGTGCGTTACCGGCCTTTTGGGATTAGGAATTTGAAGATTGTTGAGGATCGTGGGATTGGGGAGGGTTGTGAGTGAGGTTACCGGAGGGTAACTGCCACATTGACATGAAGAAATACAACGCAAGCGTTATTCACGTCAGTTTTCTGTGAAGCTGTGGTATCACTCCAGTCGAACCGGCCCGTGCCGAAGCATGGCTCTTCCACACTTATATACGGCTCATACACTTAAATACGACTCTGGGTACACCTACCTTTTTAGGTAGGTAGGTAATTAATAAATAAAAACAACATTACTGGGTGCACAGATTTATTATTAAAAACTAACGATAATGAATGATGTAGGTAAACATACATAAATAGAGGCGCTACACAATAAAAAAATTCGCCGTTGTTTATGAATGAGTAAGAAATATTTTCATACAAGTCGATACATATTTTGCTATCCTTACATAATTATTAACGTCAGAACTATTCCTTAGTAACGATTTTGTATCGAAAACTATGGGGCTACCGTATGTTTGGTCACCAGATGTAGGAAGAGATTTTAGTCCAATCACAGCAGTTGTCAAATATTGATCGTCCAATGGGGTGACGCTAGCTAATTCCCTATTGGACAAAGAACGAGAGTTTCACGCTAGCGCCATCTGTTGAGCAAAAATACGGTAGGCCCCATTGCTAAAGACTGGGTTAAAGATTTTGCGTACGGCGGGAAGTATTCTAACCACCGTAAAACTCTAAGATACATATTTATTGTCAAAAAGATTTTAATAAGTCGGTTAATTTATAAAAACTTTCAAATTAATAAGTTTTTGGCTTACTCACGTAATTGTTTGACGAGAAACTCAACTAGTTTCAAGCCGCTACTGAACGGTAAAATAATTCTTTGTAAAAAAATATGTTAATATAGAAATTACTTGAAAGTAATCTTAGACTTGCGTTACCAGTAGTTACTAAAATAGCTCAATACTGAATCAATTTTATTTTCTTATTATTTAATTTGGCGGGCGGCCCATATTATTATGAAAAAGCCCTGACGATTTCCACGATTTTTAAAATCGCTATTTTCGACGCACCGATATCGGCCAAATATACCAAACTCATCTTTAGTAGACTAAGTTATTGAAGAAACCACATTTTCCTTTAGCCAGGTATATCGTTTTTAGTTGTCCTATGAAAAATGTATAGACCATTAGTGTACATATTTTTTTATATAATATGGACACTAGCATTGATTTACGCCACCAGGTTTATGCTACTACATAATGGTAGCATATCCATATTATCCCTAAAGCAAATTAGGCAAGGGCCTAGGGCGCCAAGTTACAGAGGTCGCCACGAGACGCACGTGCCACATGCCCAGTGTAGAGGTGGCGCAAAAAAGTTTAGGAGCGTCTATGAGGTGCTTATCTAGAGTGATCTAATACGCAACCTAATACGACCATACTAATTAATACAATATGAAAAAATACGACTTTTTTATAATAAAATATATAATTTGCTATAAATATGTAAGCTAAATACTTGAATTATTGATATTATTTCGTCTACTAAGTATCTAAATATAAGGCAAACGATTATAATTTCTACATATATAATAAGTAACATTTTTTAAAGGCACAGCGCCAAGCTGCATAACATTACACCTTAGCTTTTGACTTTGGCGCCAAAAAACAATACATAAACGTCAAATAAGTTTTTAATAGCATATAAAGGAAAGGAGCTTATCTAAATGGCTGAAACATGGAAACCCGTATTGAAATATAAAAAATATGCGAAAAACTTCAATTTTATTCAACGACCATAGACATTAATTAAACTAGCGTAACCTATTTATCTAGAATCTAGATATAAGATGGGAGGTTAAGTTCAGTTTTATCGATAAACATGTATTTTAAAAAAGGTTATATAGTGTTACAATAACAATCGTGAAAAACACTGGAATCTACGAATGTTGATGATTCTGAAAGAATTGATATTTACTAGGCACTAATTACTACAACATTGAGACAAATACATAGTCTGGTACAGAGTATCACCACATCTTATTTATAATAAAAACTTGATCGGAGTCAATTTATAAATAAAATTCTACAATTGACTCCAAAGTTACACAGTAAACTACGAAGGAGTTTCGACACGTAATTAAAAAAAATCGATCTGTTACAAATGTCAGAATAAAAAAAAAACAAAAAGGCGCGAAACCGCGCAAAAGGACATTCTTATCGAATCGGATTTATCACTTGAACTGAATATTGCTTATTTCTATCTTTTTCTGCTTATTTAATATTCTCAACTTAAATTCTATAGTATTATGGTACAGTTTTATTTATTCATCTGCCTTTTCTTGGTCTCGGTCCTTCTTTTTCTTTTTTTTCTTTTCTTTGCGTAATGACGTGTCGACCTCTGTCGTTGTTTCGGCCTCAACTGTGGCATCGCCGGCGCCATCCTCCATTCTGTGGAAAAAACAACATATTTATAAGTGAAAGTGTTGAAAAACCAAGCTGAAATAACTTTGAAAATAAGACAAAGTTAAGTATTTGATAGTTTCCACATTTAAGAAAACGAGACGCATGAGATGAAATGATATAGGTAGAAGATATTCTACACTACTTTACATAATAAATAATACAAATTAACATACACCATAAATACTCTGACACATTACACAATGACGTTACTCAACTAGTTTCATGCCACGATTGGGGCCAATAAAAATGACTAGCTTATATGAAAACCGAAACAGAGACCGTCATGATTATTTTGCTCCCTAGCGCAGCTTGAATAGTCGTTTTAAATAAAAACTATTTTTATAAAAAATACGAAAACCTTATCTTGTGATAAGAGGGCAGACAAAATACGTATAACTTTGTCAGTTTTACTGCTAAAGTAAATAAAATTGACATGCATCTAACATTGTAACACCCACTTTTTGCTGGCTAAGATACGATTGGTACCTTATCCTTCATACACCATACGGCATTGTGTATGAGAGATTTTAGAAAATAGTATACCGCAGCTGCAAAAAACTTTACGGGTAACCGGGGCTGCGGCTCAAAACGGGGGTAGGAATGGGATGGATTTAAGTCAATAAGAGACTGACTCAGTCGCCTTACCCAAGGCGGGAGAAGTCATTGGATGATTTTCACCCCTCAAAAAAAAAAACAATCTTTAAATATTTTAATCGCGTTTGCACTCATGAGACATACATTTTATGGGCTAAAGCCAGCAAACGTTACCTGATGGTAAGGTAATGCTTACTACAATACAACATTAGTGTGGGGTGGGAAGCCATGCTTCAGCACGTATGGGCCGGCTCGACCGGAGTGATACAACGCCCGAGCAGAAAACAAACTTGAAACAACGGTTGGGTTGTGTTTCGTTTGTTACCGGAGGTCCAATCACCTCCCCCCCCCCCTCTTCAATCTCCCCAATTCCTAAATCCCCCCCCCCCCCCAAATTTCTAATCTCCAAAAGGCCGAAAAAGCATTTGTAACGCCTATGGTGTTTCATGTATCCATAGGCGACGCCGATTGCTAATCATCAAGGGATCCGTCTACAAGTTTATTGGCTTATCCCGTAAAAAAAATACTGGCAAAAAGTGAGTGTTACAATAACATTTACTAACAACTAATTGTAATGAATCTCGAATTACCTTAATCCCTTTAAACTCTGAAGCAGGAAAAAAGTGAAAAAAGCTATGAGAGTACATTGATATGTATGGTGGGACACAACTTTAACTTTTTGACTGTTTTAGTAACATTATTGAAAACATTATAATTATAGCTTACTAGTATATATGTGTTAAAAAAGTAGCCTGTATTATTCCGGACCATAATCTACCCGTTTCAAATTGCATCCTGATCCCTTCAGACGTTTTTTATGTACGAGTTACAAACATACACACTATCACATCAATTCTCAAAGTCAAAGTCAAGTCACAGTATTTATTCATTTGACTTTGACTCTCACATTAATAACATATATTAGTAAAATAACAGCTGAAGCTTTGTTTTATTAATATTACAGTCAAAAAGATAAACCAAAAAATGAGTGGTTACATTAAAAATAAACCAAATATGCAGTACATTCATGATATCTCATAATCTGTAGAAGATAAGACATTTATAATGATGTTACTATTAACAAATGTCCTACATTTTTAGGCCCAGTGCATATCGGCGGAGGCACGGCGAAGATACTAAGAATAAATCAATTTAAACCAAACCCTAACTATTATGGTATATGAATGAAAATAGCACACCAATGATCTGAATTATTGTTTTAATACTAAATATGTCTAGTTCAAAAGACGCATTATTATTAATTTACTGGATTACTAGTGTAACAGTGTTTTGTACACACATAGGTACATTGAAAAGAAAAAAACAGATTAGTTACTATCCAATTTGTAATTTCATCATCATCATAATCAGTCTGTATTCGTCCACTGCTGGACATAGGCCTCTCCAGTTTCAACTCGTTGAGTACCGTCATTATAGACACAATTAAAGAACAATAGGTTGCGGTCACCGGTGGCCGCTCCGTGTTTGACAGTTTAATTGTGTCTATAATGACTTAGTTTGACTGATGAATTAGTTTTAAGTAATTATAATTATCGTTCCTTTTTTATAAGATACCTGTTACGTAAGTGTAAAATAGTAAATAAGTAACATTTTTTTATTGTTTAACTGTATAATGTTTTGGCTTGTGCTGTAAAATTATACATGTGCTTATAATAAAAAAAAAAAAAAAATAATGACGGTACTCAACGAGTCAAAAAAAAAAAAAAAAATATAGGTGTGCTAGTCTGCACACATTTGCACCATGATTCTCATAAACTGACCGAGTCTGTTTTATAGTGACTGTAAAGTTTTCAAGTTGAATAAAGAAATTATAAACAAAAAAAAAATATTTTTAAGGTTTTTGGTTCTTTAGTACGCAGTTTTTATCCTTAGCCAGAGTAGTTAGGGTTTATTTCAAAACGACTTATTCTCAGATCTTGTGTGTGTCTCCGGTGTGCACTGGACCTTTCAATATAAATTAGCTATAGGTACATGTGGTATTATTTATATTTGCCATGTGGTAATTTATGAAGTAAGCCTATTTTAGTGTTATGCATGTTATTTAAATGGTATTTAATAATGAAGAAACAGCCATTAACTAATGAAAAACACTTCTGTCCACCCCTTTTTATTGTTTCACTAGCTTCTGCCAGCGGCTTCGCCTGGCATGTGGGATATAAAGTAGCGTGTTCTTAAAGGAAATAATCTACCTCCAAATTTTAATCTGATCCCTTCCAAGTGTTATGATATTAAAGAGTAATAAGGAAACAAAACATACAATCTTTCACATTTACAATATTAGAAGTACTAGAATGTATGTTGTGACTAGTTGTGTTATTTTTTATTAATAATTATTATATCTAGCTGACCCGAAAGCCTTTGTACTACCTCAATGATGTTATTTTTTAATTCTCACCATTTAATTTTAAATCTTCCCTGGACTTAGACAAATAATTCAAGACGAAAATTAGCCAAATCGATCCAGCCATTTCCGAGTTTTGGTGAGAATAACGGACAGCAATTCATTTTTATATTTAAGAAGATATTTTTATATTTGTATTATGTGCGTCTCCTTATGCTAAACAGATGTTTAAAATATAAATTGAAAGTGTTTGTATGTGTGTTAAAACTAATGATGTCTTTAATTTAAAAGTTCATATACAAATGGCATTAAATTTATTAAACAATGCCCATAAAGTAAAGGCAGCATTGCTCAGATACTGCACCGAATTTTCATATTTTTAGACCCATATCAATGAAGGCTGTCTATTTTGAAATGTGGCATACAATACTAGATTATTTACAATGAATTATGGTGTAAGGGACACCAACAGAATGAATGAATTATGGTTAAGGCAGTTAACAAAAATATCCAAATTTTAACATTCTTGATGATTAAATTTAAAAAAAGTACTTACGTAACATCAGCAGCTTCACTGTCCCTCTTCTTCTTCTTCTTTTTCTTCTCTGACTTAACTTCTATTGAGTTGTTCGGATCATCAGCATTCGCAGTGCTAGCAGTCCTCTTCCTACCAACCTCAGCCTCAGCCTCAACGGTACCATTCTCATTCTTCACCTTATAATCTACATAACTATTTAACCACTCAGCTGGTGTATTCTCATTGGGCTTGCCAAATTTGTCTAGTTTCCCTTGCGATATAAGCTGCTTTTTGTGGGATGCCTTCGGTCCTAGGCCCCATTTCCTTGGATATGTATCTCTTTCCATGATTACTCTCTTCAGCTTAGCCGCTACACCATGGTCACAGGATGCCATTGTTGAAGTGGTCATCATAGCAATAGCTAATGCGACTGCTTCACCTTTAGTAGTTACAATAACTATTTCTTGGTCAATTTCGATACCATCTTCGTACCTTAAAATACCAGGAAGTAGTACTTTAGCTCCATAACAGACTGCATTGACCGCACTGTCCTTAATGAATATTCTCTTATGTGCTACTAGTAAACCTTCCAATGGTTTGATGACTCTACGCAGGTACGTCTCGTCTTTGTGGTTTTCATATGCCCATTGGGCGTCTAAGATGTCATGCATAGTCACCATGCCTTCCTGTTCTCCTTGGATGCCAGAACGGACTCTTCGGAGCTCAATCATCTGTCCACCGACACCAAGCATGAGTCCTAAGTGTACACACATGGTACGGATGTAGGAGCCAGCCTCGCAGCTCACCCAGAACACACCAATATTGCGCTCCGTGTCGAAGTCGAGTAGTTTACTGTCATATACTGATCGCACACGCAGCTGACGCTTGACCGCCGAGATAAGAGGCGGCCGCTGGAACAGAGCACCCCGCAGCTTCTCCAAACCTTGTGTGACTTTTTGTACATTCTCCACAGCTGAGTGCAAACTAAAAACAGCCACGTACTCCTTACCGGCATTCTGTTGTGACTTCACAAGTCTCGTCGCGCGGTCAATGCACACGATCAAACAACCCGTCACTTTGGGATCTAGCGTGCCGGAATGACCCGTCTTTTCCACTTTTAAAATGCGTTTTATCCATGAGACAACTTCGTGGGAACTTGGATTGCTCGGTTTGTCTACGTTAATAAAGCCAGCCTTCACATATTCACCAATCGGACGTTTCAGCGGCGAGTGGCCGAATGGCAGCGGCGTGTAATGGTTAGTGCGCACATTGAGACGATCGAAGTTCTTCAATAACAAAGGCCAATATGCTGTATCTAACTTAGTTACACTCTCTGTGGGCTCGATTTTAAAATCTCCGAGCTTTTGAAACGTACCCAAAGATACTCCTTCTTTGGCTTTCTTCTTTTTCTTCTCCGAAAACACTTCTGCGCCGGGTTGTAAAACCTCCGTCATTTTGCGATTTTTAGTTATTTCTTGATTGATTATTCACTGTGCTTGTTTAACCTAGTATTTGGGTTAACGCGGCGCGCCGAATGTAACTATTGTTTGTAAATTTTATTTCAAAACGCACAAACAATGAGCCGACACGTGCAATACTATATTATAGGTTAGTTCCAGACAAGCAGGCTCGGCGGTCGTCGCGAACGAGGTCTCCGTTTATTTTGGACGTGGTTTCGCCAGATGTCGCATAAGACCACATGGTGTTACCAACTGATAAACAAAAACATTTTCGGATACATCTATTGCAAATTTTAATTTGATAATTATATATTTTTTTATTTTATATTTTTGTTTATTTATGTTATTAGAAATAATCAATTAATATTTTACATTGCATAAATTACATTACACTTATATAAGAAGGGTGTGCATGTGCTTTTAGTAACACCTAAATAATAAGATGAAAGAATGTAACTGATAATATCACTAGAAACCAGCACAATTTAATATGTTTAAGAACATATTAACTAATAAGCATTTTAAAAATCTCTTAGTTGTATTTTAAGAATAGGTACAATAATTGTGTCTAAATGTAAACACTTTGTGTATCCGAACGCGAAAGTCCACATCTACCAACCTTTAGCAAACTAATCACTAATGTCAAAGCGTCATTGTGGCATATTTTGTTTGAGTTTGAGTAAAAGCGTGCTGGATCGTGTTATTATTGTAACAATACAAATTTTTAATTAATACATTAAAACATTGAAAATGGCCGGTGTATTATTCGAAGATATATTTAATGTGAAAGATATTGATCCAGAAGGCAAGAAATTTGATCGTTGTAGCCGGTTGCATTGTGAATCAGAATCTTTTAAAATGGACTTAATTTTGGATATAAATTCCTGGATATATCCAATGGAATTGGGTGATAAGTTCAGATTAGTGCTTGCTACGACTCTTAGAGAGAACGGTTATCCTGATGGAGGCGAATGGAACCCTCTAGAAACAGAAGGAAATCGCGCCGACAGTTTCGAGTACGTGATGTCCGGAAAGGTGTACAGGTTAGTTTTACGAACAAATCAAACATTAAAGCCTTTTTACTATGAATACATGAATAAATCAGTTCTGTATGAGCTATGAAAAAGAATACTCACATCAAAAATATCAATTGGATTGTAAATGATTAACATGGTATTATTTCTACATTGTGTATAATCTAGAACTTTAGACTCAACCTGTCTTTACGTGTCTTTTTCTGGCAATGACTCCGCTGACTCGAAGCTTGACCCCATAAAGAGCTTCCAATGATAGTCATTCAATTTGTAAGATTAGTTAAAAACCCTATTATAGTCCTTAAACTGTCAAACACCAAGCGGTCACCGGTGACCGCAACCTATTGTTCTATAATTGTGTCTACAAAACCGGTACTCGACAAGTTAAAATATGAACCAGGAATCATCTGGTTAAAAGTAACCATAGTTAAAAAACAGTTAAAAATAAATTTAACTGTTTATTTTTGAGAGTATTAAATGTAATGTAATAAATTCACATAAACTTTGAAATCATATGATTATTGAACATTCTCAATAATTATAAGATTTATTGTATTTTTTATTATAATTATAATGTGCGACTGCCGGGCATGGGATCTCCGATTCGATTTCTGTCTCCTGGTTTAAAGCTACCTTCCCACCATTTTTCAGCCAAGTCGATTTTATCATTCTTGAGTTATAAATAGTCTACCTAACACAACTTTATTTTATATGGAGAAAGATTAAAGTAAAATTGACAAAACAAGCTTTTTTTTAACAGGGGAAGTTATCGACTGACTTCGGCTTATGCCATTAAAAAAAAATCATCCAATGACTTCTCCCGTCTGGGTGAGGCGGGAGGGATTTTGAGACTCTTTTGGACTAAAAACCACCCCATTCCTACTCCTGCACTTCGAGCCGGAGCTCCGGTTACCTGATAAGTTATCCGCGTATTGGCATCAGCCCTATTGGGCCCCATCTGTGGTGAAACAAGTGAAACAAGTGGCGTTCGGAACGCGACGCGCCGTAGGCTCGGGTCTGGTTCTGGTCGGGCGGCGAGCCACCCATGCTCGCCGTCCACAGAGATCGTCCCGCGATCCCCGACGCCCGGAGTGTCCTTCGCGACGACTGGGTTTTGAGGAGGCAGCGCTTTGTTGCCTCATGCCCCCTCTTCCTTAACTAGCGTGACTGCTTCGCAAAAGGAGGAGACGGCATTCCCCGTCTTTCCCCAGTCCCCCTCACTCCGACAAACCAAGCATAGCTGTCCAATCCCCAGTAGTCACCAGTGAGCACTCTCCACTAACTACATTGTAGACCTTATTTCCAATGTTTAGAGACTACTTTGTATGAAAAATTTTGGGTATGATATATCAATATATTAATTATGTTTTTATCACCAACAGGATAGAAGGAGATGAAGCAGCAATGGAGCCAGCGTCCCGGTTAGCAGCATATGTGTCCTTCGGAGGCCTATTAATGCGATTGCAGGGTGATGCGAACAACTTGCACGGTTTTGAAGTGGACCAACACATGTACTTGTTAATGAAGAAACTAGCTTTCTAAGATTATTTGTTTATTGTTAGGCTATTTTAAGAATAAATTTTATATTTTTAAGTGTATTTCTGGTTTTATTTTAATGAGTGTCTGATTAATTTAAACCCATTTTTTAACGTTGACCCACACTAGGATTTTCTCATGTGTTGTGGGTGCGTTTACAAATATATAAGTTCAAATAATATACAAGTTCAAAACGTGACGTCACAATACACAATCTCGTACAAAATTCCTGCAAAATTGACATTTTTGACAAAAGGCGTAACTTCGGGGATAAAAGGCGTGATGTTTTGTTATCTTATTCTTATATCTTAGTAAAATCACTGCTATCATTCTGCTTTCATATGTTATAACTGCCATCTAGTATTAAATAGATGATTCAAAAGGAATCTTGTAACGTTGCCATCTACCGTACAATAGTTTGGCTAATAGATGGCATTGCCTGCTAACGATCAATTCATCTATTCAATACTAGATGGCGGTAACATCTCATTAATACACAACAAAAAAATTATGTTAAATGAAGTCGGTAATGAAGAGAAATGTTTGTTTACTAACAAAAACTTGATCAGATATTGTGTCTGGTGTGTATGTCATAAATAAAATACTTGTGTTTCGATGTATTGTAATTTTAATAATCAGGACAGGACACCGGTGACCGCAACCTATTTGTTCTTTGTGTCTATAATGACGGTACCAAAGAGTAATAATAAGTATAGGGGTTGACGGTACTCAACGAGTTAATCTTCTAGCGGGATGTATACTAGCAGTGGCATGGACTCTTAAATAAAATATCAGAAATCATAAAAAAAAATCATAAAATACCTACCTATATTATTTCGAAAAAAAAAATTCACTTGAAATAATAGCAAGCGTATGTCACTGCGGGGTGCCTCGTTAGATCAGAATTGTTCCCATATTATTAGCAAAGTTTGACGCCTCCACAAAGCTACCGCTGTGATCGCACACGCACACGCTTCACTTGCCTGAGGCTATGTTTAATTTCGTTTTATTTTTTTTTATTCCAAAGGAAGTATTTTATTAAGTACTAGCTGTGCCCGCGACTTCGTTCGCGTAGAATAGTGACTATGGGCAGCGTTTTTTTTTAAATATATACTTATTTTTATTTTAGATTTGGATCATAATCAATCACAGTCATTTTGGGTAGCTAAAAAACCTACTTTACTGTAATGCTTCTCTATATACAATATTAGACGTATGGCCATCGGGGGTGAAAGGTGCATACAGGCTGCTGGGATTGCTAACACGGGACAGAGCCACATACAATTGACCGTGCGAAAAACAGCTGATACTTAGATTTATACCCATAACTTTTAGAGTCTGACCTTGAGCTTTATTAATTGTCATGGCGAAACATAGGCTCACTGGAAACTGAATTCGTTTAAAATTAAACGGAAAATTTTTTGGAATGAGAGGAATCTGAGGAATAAAACCACTATCACCTTTTCCGCACCCTGTTAAATATATATATATTTATAAGCCATTTCTGAGATTAGCGTGAACAGACAAACAGACAAACAGACAAAAAAAAAGTTAGTTACATTTTTGGGTTCGACATCGACAAAACAATAGCTCCTGCTATTTTTTTTATTTTTATTTTCAATGTACAGACAGCACTTTTCTACAATTTTATTATATGTATAGAAGATATTTTTTATCATTATAACGTTGCCCCACACTAGGATTTTCCCCTGTGTCGGACATACGAGTACACAACAGTCAGACCCGAAACAACAATTACCTACGTGAGTAAGTCGAAAAACATAATAATTCATTTAGTATAAATATACATACACAGGCATTATTATAACTTGTAAGGGGGGAAAATCATCGAATGACTTCTCCCGCCTGGGTGAGGCGGGAAGGAGTCAGACTCTTAGTAACCACCCCGTTCCTTCTCTTGCACTTCAAGCCGGAGCCCCGGTAATCCGTTAGGTTCTCTGCGACTCTGTATCGGCATCAGCCTTGTTGGGCCCCATCTGTGGTGGTCATGGCTATTTGAGGCGCGCGCGGATTGCGACGCATTTGAGTTTGACTCACTTCATACGAATCATAGAATGCGTCTTATAAAAGGGGTGGTATTTAATACTTTGACTGTTACAAAATATTCGAAATCACCACCAAAGATACTGAATTGCACACTAAATTTGCTCACCAAATAAATCAAATATACCTACCTACTATACTGTTAGACCTTTAAAGCTTAACTGTTTTACTGAATGTTTATGGTTTATTTTTTTGATATGCAGTAGGGTATTAGTGGAGAAATTTAGTTTGCTTAAATTTCTGAATAGAGGTGCAGTAAAAAACCCCTTATAAAAGCACTAGCTTTTACCCGTGGCTTTGCACGCGTCACAAAAGGATAAAAAGTAGCCTATTGTGACGTATACCAATACACATAGCGCCATCTATACCAATACTTTTGTTTTCCCTCGGGAATATCAAATCTTTCCGGGATAAAAAGTACCCTATTATTTAATGCAGACTTTTAACATTACGTCTGCAAAAATTCAAAGCAATCGGTTTAGTAGTTACGGCGTGAAAGCGGAACAAACAAACGAACTCACTTTCCCATTTATAATATTATAGTACCTAAGGATAGTCGTGTCGCGTCACGTCGCGTCTCACAGCGATATGACCATGAGTTTTATTTTTAAACTCAAGACTGACCTTATCAATTCAACATTTAGGTACAATAAAACAATAAGATTAGGGTATCTTTGTACTAACCTCTAGTTGCGTCTGACCCGCGGTAGACAACTGACAATATTATTTATAATAATGTGACATAAAATAAATCCGCCATTTTGAATTTGCGTTCGAAATAATCGCGATGTTTTTGTTTAATTTAAAAACTTTTGTTATTGTTTTGTTCGGTGAGTGTTGTGTTTGTGTTTCATATAACATCCCGCCTTTTATCCCCGAAGGGGTAGGCAGAGTTGCACATTTACGGCATTTAATGCCACTGTACAATGTTGTGTTTCACTTATTTAAATACTAGCCGTTGCCCGCGACTTCGTCCGCGTACTGATAAAAAGTATCCTATCTAGCCAATACCCTGTCTGTATAGATACCAAATTTCATCAAAATCCGTTCAGTAGGTACAGCGTGATTGACGGACAAACATTCGAACATCCAAACAAAAAAAAACACAATTATAAGTAATATCTGTGTGATTGGTTTAGTTTTGTTAAGGGTTAAAAAGGGGGGTAAACAGTGTTACATTACATGTATGTTTTAACATCACTATTTAGTAAGTAGGGGCCTCCTCATATCATCAACAGCCTTTAAAATGTCCACTGCTGAGCAAAGCCTCTTCTCACACGGAGAAGGTTTGAGCATTAATCACCACGCTTGCTTAATGCGGGTTGGCGATTTCAAACTTATAATTAGAAATTACCTCTATAAGCCCAGGTTTCCTCACGATGTTTTCCTTCACCGTTTGTCA